CTGGAGCTGCGTGACCGCCGTCGGGGGCCCAGGCAGCGGGGCGGCCCGGGCCCACAGCCCCACTGTCCCGCCCCGGGACCCCTCCTCGGAGACCCCGGCGGAACCAGCACAGGTTCCAGGTTTGGGAGTCTCCGGCTTGAATCCAGATGCGCATCGCTGTGAAGACAAAAGACTCACCCCCTTCCTCCACGCTTCCTAAAGGTCACCCCGAATGTATGCTCGCCGGGGGGCCGCCCGCAAAAGCACGAGTAATGCTGGAGGCTTCCTCCTAGAGCAGTCTTTTCAAAAGGACCCCAACCTCTGCTCCTGGGTCCTGAATGAGCAGGAACCACATAAAAAAAAATGTACGTCCGCAGGGCCCGTGCAGCCCCATCTAATGCATGTTCATGCGGGCCGGGCATTCAGTTCGCGGAAAGGGGAGCCCAGACAACATGGCTAAAGCCACTTGCAAACGGATCTTGGGGCCGCACGGGGTGGGGTCGGGACCATTACAGAAGGCATTCTTCCTTGTGCTGAGCTGTTACACATTATCCAGCGGTTCTCAACCTGTGGGTCGCGACCCCTTTGGCGGTGGAACGACCCTTTCACAGGGGTCGCCTAAGACCATCCTGCATATCAGATATTTACATTACGACTCATAACAGTAGCAACATTACAGTTATGAAGTAGCGAAAATAATTTTATGGTTGGGTCACAACATGAGGAACTGTATTTAAAGGGCCAGAAGGTTGAGAACCACTGCGCGCTCAGAGGAAGAAGTAGCAGCGATGATGAAACATGACCTGAGAGATCCTGCTACTAACCTGCCTCATGCTAAAGCCCAGTCAGCCCAGGACCAGCAGGAAGAAGTCTGCGATCCACTAAGGTCAGCTTTATTTGTAAATAAACCGGGAGGAAGGACCGTGCAGGGGAAGCGTGGGTACCACGGGGAAAGGCAGGAGGAGGAAGCGCCTTTTGTGAGGTTTCGGTTCCCGCCGAGGGAGGGGAGGGTCGGCTAAGGAGAGCGGGGATCTGGATTGGACGCCGTTCCCGAGGCGCGATTGGGAAAAGCGGGCACGAAGCGGGGATTGGGTGCGGTGCCCAGCAATAAGCGACAATAGCCGCGGGGGCCTGGGTGTCATTAGTTACTGTAAAGCTGCTCACAGAAGACGCGGCGGCGGTACCGTTGCTGCACGGCCGCGGAAAATACAAGGTTCCCGGTTAACTCTGCAGCCGGCTTTCTCTGTGCCTGTCCGGTCGCTGCTGCTTGTTCTCAGTTCAGTCAGAGCTGGTGCTCCTTCTTTTGGTCCTGGCCCAAATCAAGAATGCTGGTTGGGATTCTTGCACCCATGATGCCGAACTGGACAGGATCCGGGTTCTGCCTTGGGAGCTCCGAACTGCTTTCAGACGCTCCTTACCATGGACGGAAGTTATTTTCTCGTCAACAATTCAAATGACATCTTGTCCTTATGCCCCGCATTTGCTGGGAATAGAGAAAAGATGGGAGCACAGAAAGGAAACAGTAGAAAAGTTGGTCGATGGGACAGAGGAGATGTTGAATGATGGAGGGGTGAAGAAACTAGGCATGAAGAACAGGAAAGAGTGTCATGGGGGCCCATGAATTAGGAATATTGGGGCAGAGGTACGATGAAGAGATTTCAAAAAAAAAAACACCAAAGAAAAAACCATGAAGATGTTTAGCCTTCCCAGTGATCCTAGGCTCATGGAGGTCCTAAATGGGAGGACGAAGGGCCAAATTCACACAGCAAAAAAAATGTTTCATCTGGCCCACATGGTAGTTTTCCAAATATATTTTAAGTAGATACCAAAATTCAATAAATCAGGAGATTTTACCTTAAAATCTAGATTTCTAGTTTATCTGGAAAAGAGGTAAGTGTCCAAGGCCTCTCTTCATTCTGTATATGGGAGCAAGCTGCTCCTGTTAAGCACCAGTGTTCCATCATTTCACTGCTCCTTGGCGAGACAGGCTGTGCCTCTCTTAAAGGGATGAGAATGCTCTTCAGTTATTTTTAAGCCTCTCCTAGATAATTTTAAAGTTTCTCTTCAGGCACTCCCCAAAGAGCTCCACTCCGCACTGGTGTGAAGAACCCAGCCTTAAGCCAGACCCTGTGTGCTCCCTTAACGCACCCAGCTCCTTCCCTTTTTACTCTCCCTCCACCTTGTTTTCACTAAACTTCTTCTTTTGAATCTGTTTTGCCTCCTCTCTTGATTGCTATCTTGAAGGGGTGCCAAGAACCTCTTTGCTGGTGGCATTGGTAATAACTCAAGGCGTGGCCATGCCAGGCAATGCCACTGAGTTTTACTCTTTGCCTTTTGACCCGAACCCTCTGCAATGTTCTAGGGCACCTCCAAGCCCAAAGGAACCCCTGCGCACTCCCAGTTGGGAGATGGGAGAGTATGTGAGAAAGGCTCAATTGAACAAGCTTGAGACCCTTCTTTCAACTAAGACAATGATCAATGAAAGCACTTCCTACATGCATCTGCACTTTTTTCTTCCTGGGGAGAGAATCCACACCTTTCATCATATTTTTAAGGGGTTATTTATCCAAAAAAGGAACATTTGAAATATAAAGTCCCCATTTTTAGAAGTATTACATCCTTTTACATTAATAAAAATTTACACTGGGGATTTTTACTATATATTATTTAAATGACTAGAGGCCTGGTGCATGAAATTCGTGCACGGGTAGGGTCCCTAGGCCTGGCCAGGAATCAGGGCCAATCTGTGGGGTGCCAGCAGGGCAATCGGAGCCCCTGCTCACACCTGCCTTGGCCAGGAGCCACCCCTTCACCTGCTCCACCATCCCGCCACGGTCCCACTCTTGTCGGGGCCCATCAGGGCCAACAGCGCCTCCACTGCCACCTGCTACCAGCACCACATCACTGGCACTCGCCATGTTCCATGCCGCCCCCTGGTGGTCAGTGCACGTCTAACTCCCAGTTGGTCGAACTCCTGCCAGTGGGGACAATTTGCATATTAGATTTTTATTATATAGGACTAGAAGCCCAGTGCACAAAAATTTGTGCAATCGGGAGGGGGTCCCTCAGCCCAGCCTGTGCCCTCTCACAGTCTGGGACCCCTCGGGGGATGACCCATCTGCTGGCTTAGGCCCGCTCTCCAGGGGATTGGGCCTAAGCTGGCAATCAGACATCCCTCTGGCAGCCTGGGAGCCCTCAGGGGATGCCCACTTGCCAGCGGGGAGCAGGCCTAAGCTGCAGTTGAACATCCTTAGCGCTGTTGAGGAGGCGGGAGAAGCTCCCACCACCACCGCTGTACTGGCAGCCATCAGCCTGGCTTGTGACTGAGCAGAGCTCCCCCTGTGAAAGCGCACTGACCACCAGGGGGCAGCTCTTGCATTGAGTGTCTGCCCCCTAGTGGTCAGTGTGTGTCATAGTGACCAGTCATTCCCAGTCGTTCTGCTGTTAGGGTCAATTTGCATTATACCCTTTGATTATATAGGATAGAGGCCTGGTGCATGGGTGGGGGCCGGCTGGTTTGCCCTGAAGGGTGTCCCGGATCAGGGTGGGGGTGCCGCTGGGGTGCTTGGCCAGCCTGGGTGAGGGGCTGAGGGCCGTTTTCAGGCTGGCCACACCCCCTTCAGGGAGGGGGGTCCTGCTGGGGTGCCTGGCCAGCCTGGGTGAGGGGCTTATGGCTGTTTACAGGCTGGCCAAGGCCCCCAGTGGGGACCCTCACCCCATGAGGGTATGGCCAGCCTAGGTGAGGGACTGATGGCTGTTTGCAGGCTGGCCACAGCCCCATCAGGGTGGGGGACCCCGCTGGGGTGCCTGGCCAGCCTGGGTGAGGGGCTGATGGCTATTTGCAGGCTGGCCACAGCCCCTTCAGGGTGGGGGGTCCTGCTGGGGTGCCTGGCCAGCCTGGGTGAGGGGCTGATGGCGGTTTGCAGGCTGGCCATGGCCCCTAGCCACCCAAGCTCCAAGTGGAAGCTGGCTGGAAGCAGGTATCTGGAGTTTATTTATCTTCTATAATTGAAACTTTGTTACCTTTAGTGGAGGCCAGAGCCGGCCAGGGCAGGTGGGAAGCTTGGCTTCCTCCATCGCCGGGGCAACCAAGCCTCCTGCTTGCTCCAGCTCCCAGCCGCCATCCTGGTTGGGTTAATTTGCATATAGTCACTCTGATTGACTGCTGATCCCAGTGCTGGGAGGCCTCGAGGCTCCACTTGACACCGGGGCAGTGAGGCTTTGCTGCTCAGCTGATCCCAGTGCTAGGAGGCCTTGCAGCTCTGCTGATCCCGGTGCTGGGAGGCATATTACCCTTTTACTATATAGGCTAGAGGCCTGGTGCACAGGTGGGGGCCGGCTGGTTTGCCCTGAAGGGTATCCTGGATCAGGGTGGGGGTCCCGCTTGGGTGCCTGGCCAGCCTGGATGAGGGGATGATGGCTGTTTGCAGCTGGTCACACCCCCTTCAGGGTGGGGGTCCCCGCTGGGGTGCCTGGCCAGCCTGGATGACAGGCTGATGGCTGTTTGCAGCTGGTCACACCCCCTTCAGGGTGGGGGTCCCCACTGGGGTGCCTGGCCAGTCTGGGTGAGGGGCTGAGGGCCGTTTTCAGGCTGGCAGGTGACTGAAGCTCCCAACCTCTCCTTTTTTTCCTTTTTTTCTTTTTTATTCTGGGATTTACTTACCTTCTATGGCTGTCACTGGAGCTGAGAGCTGGCTTTAGCTCTGAGGCTCTGCTCCAGCTCTGAGACCTCGGTTTGTTTGACTTCTATAATTAAAACACTGTTGCAACTCCAGCTCAGCCGGCTGGCTGAAAGCATGGGGATTGTTTAGCTTCTATAATTGCAACATAGTTGCTTAGAGTGCAAGCTCAGAGCCCAGCAGTGGCAGGCAGGGAACCTTGGCTTCCTCCTTCACTGGAGCAAGCAAGCTTCCTGTTCTCTTCAGCTGCGTGGTTGCCGGCCGCCATCTTGGCTGGCAGTTAATTTGCATATCGCCCTGATTAGCCAATGGGAAGGGTAGTGAAGTTACGGTTAATTACCATGTTTCTCTATTATTAGATAGGATATTAATTTATATGAGTGGTTTGTAAATTATAATCCCCATAAGAACAGGAATACCAATCCTATACAAAATACTTACCATATTACTTTCTCAACTAGTTATTCCATAATTATTTGTTAAATGAATGAATAATTAATGAAGGTAAGAAAAAAGGAAAGCGTATATGAGCCTCTATATAGACAAAATTTCAGATAATTTATTTCCCCTAGGGAAAGAAAGATAATGTTATACCAACTTTGTGAGGATTCAAATAGTATGTTTGGTTTAAAATAGAAAATGATCCAAAGTATTTCATTTGCACTCCTCCTCCTCCCAACAGCCTCTCCCCACTTCACCCCCGCTCCCCAGCACCAACCATTCTTTGCTCTTTTCTGCTGGTGCTATAGCGAACTACTCACCCAAGGACTTCCTCTCCAATCCAAGTTGGCTGCTGTTTGGATTTGGCTAAGGGGAGGCACTGGCAGAAGAAATAGGCCAGAGTGATTCTTCCCAATCCCCCTCTGGTTTGACAAAGCATCTCTGTCAGCAGCTTCATCCTCTTAGACTACAGTGCCTACCTAGTGGTCCCTGTTCTGTAGTTCCAGCTGTCATCGGGCGCTCCTCCCTGTGTCCCCTCAGCCAGAGGGTATTGCTAGTCACTGGGTGGCCACCATCCCTTGCTTGTTCCCTTAAACTTACACACTTCACTGTAAGTAGTACTTTCACTAACATTTTTTCCTTTGTCATGTGGAGGAAATTCAATTTTCTTCAGGGGCCTGACTAATACACATTCTAGGTGCCAGTCACTGTTCTAAATACTTCATGTACATTATTTTGTTTAATCCTCATATGCAGCCTAAGAGGTAAGTACTGTTAGCATCTCCCTTTTACAAGTTTGTTAACCATTTATAGTGAGTGTACATGATGGTTGCAATGGGATTGTACCAGGGAGTCTGTATAGATCTACATGTTAGGAAGTTTGCAAACAACTAAAGATGCATTAACAATCCCTGAAATCAAATATGTAGACAACAGCTAATAAGCTATTAGGTTGAGATATAATAGTTGATTAAGTATCATGACTGGATATGACTATTGTTGCCATAAAATTACTTCTTTGATCCAATGTCAAATACACTATTAGCTTTTCTATGACAATTCAACAGTCCCAGGAAAGTGTTTTTATAACTATCTATATAGTACTTATAATTAATCACAACTTTAAGAGAAGATGAAGTTAATTCTTACTGAAAATAAATCTTAGTGGTAAGTGGGGGAAAAAGGGGATATCTGTAATACTTTCAACAATTAATATTTTAAAAACTATAAAAAATAACAAATCTTTTACATTGCTATCATTAGGCAAAGCCATTGAGAGAAATTTTATGCCATAGCCCTTCATGAATTAGGGGGAAATATATAAAACTTAAAACATATTTTCAATGATCTCCCACATGTTTTCCACATTTCTACTCATCCTCTTCTTACCTCCTATATGCTGCCATGTAGTTAATGTCATTTATGTTTTTCAGAATGGCTACTGGACTTGGCTAAAGTCTGCACATCTTCACTGACCCAAACCCACACTGAGAACAAATTGGGTATTCTTTATGTTTTGTCTTTAAAAGAAGGAGGAGGAGGAGGAGGAGGAGGAGGAGGAGGAGGAGGAGGAGGAGGAGGTAGAGGAGGAGGAGGAGGAGAAGGAGGAGGAGAAGGAGGAGGAGGAGGAGGAGGAGGAGGAGGAGGAGGAGGAAGACTTTGATTTGGCCGTTGTGACACATGAAGGAAGTGGCCCCCACTATGACATCCCCTCTCCTGTTACCCTGATTCTAGGGCAGAATACTCTTATGTTTCAGGCATGCTTAACACAGGGCTGTAAACAGCAACAGTGATTGTGCTAATAAAGGTTTTGCCTCGCTATTCTGGACCCCTGCCTAGGCTCCTGTTCAGGAGGATATTGAAAGAATAAACTTTTCTATCAGGGCTTCATTAGGACAATATGGATGTGTGGAACTGGTGTAGGCCTAGACTGTGACCAGGTCACTTCCACAATGTGATTACTCTTCCCCAAGCTCCTGGCCCATCATTGGAAGGATACAACCTAATTAGTTTATGTCCCATTAGAATAGGAACCAGAGACTCTTCTCACACTGGCTTATTCACATCTAAGACTCAAACTGAGATTTGGAAATGTAACTATAGTTGTTTCAACTGCTTTATCTTATTTAGGAAATAGTTTAGTAAATAAAAACATTGTTCTATTCCGATTTCTCAGGCTAGTCAGACCACCTGAGTTTGAATCCCAGTCTCATCATCTTAATTCTGTGACTTGAGGAATGTTACATATGTTCTCTGGCTATAACAAGCTTGCACGGTTACTCTGCCATTTCTCTTCATCTTGCTCAGGCTTGGGTAGCTCTGACAGATATTCTATTTGTTGCAATACGGTACGGGTGACTTTCACTCTCTTTCCTCCATACCTGAGTCCTGATTGGTTTCCACTCTTAATTTTTATTTGATTACAGAGTATTTTATCTTCTGTTTACTTTTCTGTACCTCAGAGAAATGGTGAAGGAGAGATAAGCTCTGTTGAGGTAAGATACAGGCTGCATTAGAAAGCTTGAGCCATGCTCTCCTTGCTGAGTGTTTGTTTTAGTGGAGAATTATATGTCATTTCCATAGGGAAATAGCCCCAGGCATCGGGTTGTGAAGGAAAACCCCTATTCTGTAAAACTACTGTTTGGAATTCTCTGCTATTCTTTGGACGGCCTCTTATTCTGGAAAAAATAACTTTGCTTTCTAGCCTGCTTGAATAATGGGGGAGATAAACTTAGCTGTCTGACCTTGTAGGCCAGAGACTAGATACACCCAATGCCATGCCAGGTGCATTTTTAATTGGATAGAACTGTGTAGTTTTCAAGGCCGCCGCCAGCAAGCACACAAAGGGCTGGCTCTTCTATAAAAAGGGAAGTTCTGCTTGTAGCTTTGCTTAGAATTTGGATTCATTTCCCTAAGCCCGCCGCAGTGAATAAAGTGTAACTCCAAACTCTCAGAGCGCTGTTTGGTTCTTGTCCGGTTTTTCTGTAACAGGGTAGTCTCCCATCTTAGTGAGTAGTCCTGGAACTTTTACTTTCATTAGAATCAGCCCCATAGTTTACTTCTGAAAGGGCGAGGGCTAGGCCCTCCACCTTGCCCCAGGGTAAGGGCTAGGCCCTCCACCTTGCCCCAGGGTAAGTGCTCCATCTTACCTTGGCCACGTGCTTGGCAAGGAGCTTCTTCCCGGAAGTCTAAGCCTCTGCTAGCCACACCCAGGAACAAGACACAGACTTGTGCCTGGCCAATCGGCAGAGCACAGTCCTTTCTCCTCCCCTTCCTCCAACTCCCCCTATATAACCCGTCTCCACACAGAGTTATCTCTCTCTGCTTCCTGTCGCTGCGTCGGCAAGGTGGGGGAGCCGAGCTAGCTCGAATACAGATTCTTATGCTTTTGCATCGGATTGGCTGGCTCCTGATGTGGTTTCTTGGGAATCTTGAAATCTGGGCATAACATTTGGGGGCTCGCCCGGGGTTCCCAGGACCATGTAGGGATCCTCAATCCGTAGAATCTGCGTAGCCGCGGTAAGTGTCTGTGTGTTGTGTATTCTGTCCTGTGTGAGCTCACTTCTGGAATCGGTGCCTGAGGGGTCCAGGCGGACGCGCCGTGTACGACCACAGGCGGGGGAGAGTTAGAAGACGTTCTGCTCCCCACGAGGAATGTGTATTCTCCTCACGGATATGAGAGATGTGTATTCCTCTCATGAGAGATGTGTATTCCTCTCGCGGATTTGAGACGAGGCGGGTCGCTCCCGCCGGTTTGGCTTAACGCCATCGTCTAGTTGCTTCCATGCATGGAGTTGGAAGGCTGTTCTTTGGGCCCTGTTTGTCTGTGTCTGTTTCTCTGTTTTCTGTGGACTTACTGGACGGATGTTATGGGACGGACTCAGACTGCTCCTTTGGGTATTGTGATTGATCAGTTCAAGGAGATTGCGGGAGGCTTTAGAGCTCCCTCAGGAGTTGGGAAGTTGTTAGGAATTGAATGGATTGTTTAAACTCTTAATGAATGTCTGGTGAAAGTATGTGAGTGTAAAGGCAGGGGAGGGGTCCCCGCCTGCCCGCGCGCCTCCCAGGCAGGTAAGGTGAGCAGGGATCACTGTGCCTTGTGCCGCAGGAGAGTAAAGATGCGCCTGGATGCGGAGGCTAAAGCCGGCGCACCGAGGCCCGCTTGCTGCGCACCTAGGCAGCTTGCTGCGCGGGGGGCAGGTGTGCAGGAGCGAGGCGTGCGGTGAGCACAGCCCTCGCCCCGGGGCCCGGCCGCGCGGCCGCGCTGCGGGCCCAGGCGGCTTGGGCTCCGTGGTGGCGGCAGGGCGTTGGCCCCCGGGCTTGTGGCGAGCGAGTGGAGCTGGGCAGAGCGCGGGGGGCAAGGCCGGCGAGTCGCTTGCGGGAGGCCGGAGCAGCGAGGCCCCCGGCAGCGTCGGGTCCAGGGGAAGGTCTGGGGAAGGTCTGGGAAAGGTCCCGTGCGGAGCCCGCGGGCCAGACACCTGGGGGCGGCGGCGGCGGCTACTCTGGACGGGAGCAGGGCCCTTCCTGTGGAGATCACCACAGCTAGATCATAGAAGTTAAATGTAAAAGTTTTAAAATGCATCCAGGATTTCTGTGCACGTGTAAAGGGAAAAGGCCAGTTTAAAAACGAGTGCGCATAGTTTTGAGCTGAACTTGACCTTTTGCTGTGTACAGAATAAAAACCCGAGACTGTTTTGGCCTTAAAAATGGCAGATGAACCTGACAAAGAAATGTTTGGATTGAATTGGGAAAAATTATGTTATTGTGGTAACTAAATACCTTTGCTTATTGGTACAGCCACCATTTTGGGCTGCAAGCCTTGACAGCCGCCATGTTGGCCGCATGGTTTGCCACTCCCCTGGGGGCCGCCATCTTGAAACAGCAAAGGCCCCGCCCTCTGATTTAGTCAGGGGTGGAGCTTTAAGGCAAAGTTTTATGGGGTTGCAAGTGTGCTTGTTTTGCGGATTTATTTTTAAGCTAATCTCTTAAATCTAAAAAACCCTGCTTTCCTTAAACTAAGGACAATTAAAGGTTATGTCAAAATCCAATTTCTAAAGTCAGATAGGTATATTGTCAATCTGAGGAATGTTAATTAGTTACATATCACCTAAAAATTAAGGCTAAAAGTTCCAACTAACTAAAAAGCATGGCTTTGGTGTGATGGAAGGAAAGAAATGTTAAATGAATGGTAGGCCAGTAAGCTGGAACTGGTCACTGGTGGTGGATTGTGAGAAGCACTGGACATTGCCTAACTTCTCCTTCTTTGGTACCCCTGAAACATCGGAGGGTACTTCTGGCCTTGATTTTCTTAGTTTTTGGTTTTGGATTTGTTTGTTTATTTGTGATGAAAACCGTTTCTATCTAAATGAGACATAGGTCAAGAATCCTGTCCTGGGATGTGGGAAAGGCCCCCACATCTGTTCCTGTCAGTCCCCCATCAGGGGACTTGGGGGCGGTGTTCCTGTTATCTGCTCAAGAGCCCAAGACTGTAAAGATACTTGTTCACTGAAAAGGTGTAAGTGTAAATGTTTATTTGATGTTTGTAAGCATCTCTGTTTGCTGGGAACTTTGATCTGCTATGTGATATTCTGTGCTGGGTTGGGATTTTGGAATTCTGGGGTAAATTTAAAAGGTATCTGTGGCTTTTCTAGTCTGATTGGGACATTTAAGGATGGGGCTCACAGTTCCTCAAGGCAATGATTTAATGGGCCCTCCCCCCTGCCTGTGCTGAATTAGATAATACAGGCCAGTACTGATTAAGGAAGACAATGGGCCTTGGAATCTGTAAAGATAGGCGGGAATGAAGCTGGTCTAATGTACTGAAAGGGTTTGGTCTAGCAAAGGAGGGGCTGATACCCCCTCCTAGTGCACTCCCTTGAAAGAGGCCTGGTTGCTGCTCTGCCACAAAGGGAACTGGTAGAAACAAACCATGGAACCTGGTGAGGGCCATGGAGTGAGACCCTCGCGAGGTCTGAGAGTCACTGGAGCAGCCGGCCACTATGGGGCCCTGGGGAGAACCAGAGCTCCTGGTGTGGCGCCCAGAGGCAGTAGCCTTGGCTCCACCACTGCCTGTGGGCCTGGAGGTGAAGTTGGGGGCCCTGGTGCTCCTGCTGGTGCTCACGCTCATCTGCAATCTGGTGCCTATCTGTGTGCTACGCCGACCAGGAGCCAGCCCCGAAGCCTCAGCCTTCCGCCAGAAAGTCCTGAGCCTGACGAGGCCCTGGCAGCCCTGCACGTGCGACCTGGGTCCATCACACCCACGTCCGGTCAGCGGACCCATCCATGATCCGGAAAGACTTCGTTACCAAATGGAGCATCGATCGAGATCAACGCAACCTGCTACCTGCCTGATGCTGGTAACATTGCTCGCGACTCAGATGATGCCTGCATCTTCATGGACATGGCTCCAAAGAGACAAGGACAATTTATAGGAAGGCCAAGAATAGACTTTAGTAGAATTTGGCTGCCTAAAGCGGCCATGATGCCAATATCATGTTTCATTG